AGTAAAAAAAAGTATAGGGGGATTGGAATAATCAGAAAATAAGGAGAAATAAACGGATTGAAAAGAGAATGGAGAAGGGGGGTGGGGGTTAGAGAGGAAATAGGGAAGGCGAGAGTTAAAAGGTCAAAGGAGTGAGGTCGTGCAAAGGAAAGGGGGGGAAGAAAAGGTCATAGCTGATTGGGTTCTGATCAAGGCAAAAAAAAAATAATATAACAAAGGCATAGGTCATGGAGATTTCTTGCTCCCTATTTCTATCTCTATTTCTATTTCTCTCTCTCTCTCTCTCTCTCTCTCTCTCTCTCTCTCTCTCTCTCTCTCTCTCTCTCTCTCTCTCTATTTCTCTCTCTGTCTCTTTCTCTCTCTCTCTCTCTCTCTCTCTCTCTCTCTCTCTCTCTCTCTCTCTCTCTCTCTCTCTCTCTCTCTCTCTCTCTCTCTACCTATATCCCTATCTATCTATTTATTATTTCTATTTCTCTATCTCTTGTCTGTCTCTACTTTATAACCTTTGCCTAATCAGGGAAAAATCTTCGACTATATTTCACTCTTATTCAGTATCGAAGTCCAAATCATACATACACACGCACACACACACGCTAATAATAATAATAAGAAGAAGAAATATAATAATAATAATATTAATAATGATAATAATAGTAATAACATTGATAATGATAATAATAGTAATAACTTTAATGATAATAATAATAATAACAATAATGATAATAAGAAGATAAATAAAACAGGACTCGAGCCTCCTTCACTCACTGTCTCTGAAGGTGCCGTTGATCCCCGTCTCCAAGAAGTGGTGGAGGAACTCGGCGCCGTCGGCAGATCGGTGCAGGAGCAGGGAGTCGATGAAGGACTTGAGGAAGGGGTCGTTCCTGCCCGCGGGGGAGCCTGAGAACTCGGAGAAGCCGCTGGAGGGCGTGGTCGAAGCCGGCCCGAACTCAGCAAAGCCTCCGCCGATATCTGAGCCTCCGAGGGTCTCTTCGGCCAGCACCGGTTCGATGTCGGACGCGTCGAAGGGCAGCTCGGGCTTCGTGCTGCCGACGCTGTTGATGTCGGGCGTGCCGCGGCGAGGCTTGAAGGTGGCGAAGCGGTGGGTCAAGGGGGGGAGGGTCGTGGGCTCAGAGTCGGGCGTAGGCAAGAGCGAAGGGCGTGAGGCGACTTCGGAAGGGCTGACGATCGGGAGGGCGCTGTCGATAACGTACACGATGCCGTCCGAGACCTTGTATTCCTCGCCGGTCAGCTGCACGCCGTTCGCGAAGGTGTTGGCTGGGGGGGAGGGGGAGGGGGCAGAGGAGAGGTTAGTTATTTTGGAAAGAATACGAATAGGTTTGAATGGTACGAGAACGTGATGATGTACAAGAAATATAATATTATGATGATGATATTGTTCCAAATGGTGCAATAGATGAGGACATGTTAGTGATGTACAATCAATATCATAATATAATTATTATTACTATCTTTTGCAAGGTAATCCCCCCCACCGCGAGTGTGTGTATGTGCTTGTGTGCGTGCGTGTGCGTGCGTGTATGCATATGTGTCTGTACCTCAAAGCCATTAAAACGCAAACACCTTACCGACTCAACTGACAGGTTACGACGTCAAGTTCAACATTAACTTCAACCCTAATTCACGGTGAGAGAGAAAGAGCGAGAGAGAGAGAGAGAAAGAGAGAGAGCAGACAGACACAGAGAGAGAGAGAGACAAAGAGAGAGAGAGAGAGAGAGCGAGAGAGAGAGAGAGAGAGAGAGAGAGAAATTAAAAGAGAGAAAGAGAGAGAGAGAGAGAGAGAGAGAGAGAATATTTTTAAAAAGAGAGAGAAAAATTAAAGAAAGAGAAATTGAGAGAGAAATTACAAAAAAGAGTAATAATAAAGAGAAACCTAAGGAAAGGCCAGAGTTGCGGAAAGCTATAGTTCTGTCCAAGATTAATGCGCGCATCAGTTAAGTCAGCCTGATATTAAAGCGATAACGGGTGTAGGCAGCGATGATGTTAATGTAGCCTTTTGAGGTGTAATGAAATATGCGAGGGTCTTGGACTGGTGTCTGTTGTGTTATAAGTTTGATTTTCTTGTCTCGTTGCTGTGGGGTATTATCTTATCAACGTGAATAAGTGTGTGTGGGGGTTATTTATTGTCTTATGATGGTTCGTGTGTGTTTGTTTGTTCGTCTTTGTCCTTTGTATCTTTTCTGTTTCTTAATTCTTTCCCTCTCTCTCTTGTTCATCCTTCTCTCCCTATCTCTCTCTCTTTCTTTCCCTCTTCCCCTCCTTACCTTCCCCTCCATCCCCCTTTTCTTCTCCCCCTATTTCCCTTTCCCTCCCTCCATCCCCTCCCTATCCATCCCTCTCCCCCTCTTCCCCTATCTCCCTCCATCCCTCTCCCCCCTCCTTCCTTCCTTATACCTCTCCCATCCATCCCCCTCCCCCTCCCCCTCTCTCCCTCTCCCCCTACCCACCTCTCTTCCTACCCACAAGCAACAAGCAGATCCTC